TTGTACAAAGTATTAAATACATTTCAGTAGTTCAATACTTTTTCCCTGGGTCATTTTATTTTATTACACATAACTTAATTTCTGAATTTATTTGTTTTGTTTTCTTTGTATGTATGGATTACTTGGATTGTTACCGACATCTGGTGAAAATTTCATGTCAACAGCACCTACTGAGAAATAAATATATTTCTCAGTAAATATATTTAGAAATATATTTACTGAGAAAAATGGTGACGTGTTCAATACTTATTTTATCCGCTGTATATCTTTCTTATTCTTACACACCCAACCAACCAACCCAACTCAAATCTGTTTGTTGTTTTCCTTCCACACATTCAGTAAGGGTACTTAGTCTGATCGAAAGCTATATGACAGAAACCACTCAGAGATACTAGATGTTGTATGTATATCCTGATGCTGTGTGTAATTTAAAAAGAAGGGAGGTTACTGTGATTGACTACCAGTCAGAGAAATTGTGCTACTTTAATGACAGGGTTGTCATCAAGCTGAAAGGAACAGGTGCCTTTGTGTGCAACAATATCTGTCTCTAGCTCTGGCTAGAGCTAGTGAGAAACACAATGAAGTATGTCTAGACTCTTTCAAGCAAATTCACTAACTTTCTTTTAAAACAGTGGTTTTCAAACTTTTGAACACCAAGGACCAACGAATCCAGAATTTATTGCATTTATAATATATTTAAAATAAATCTCTTATGTGCAAGGCTGCATTTCTTTGATCACAAGGATTGTGAAATATTTGTATAATTTAAAATAACTGTCTTCTATTTTCATATATTTTAAATGTAATTTATTCCTGTGATGGCAAAGTTGAATTTTTGCAGCAGCCATTACTCCAGTATTCAGTGTCACTGAAATCATTATGGTATGCTGATTTGGTACTTTGAAATAAAAATAAAGACAATATTCTGTAACATTATAAATGTTTTTACTCTCACTTTTGATAATTTAATGCATCCTTGCTGAATAAAAGACTTACAGAGAACCATCTCTGAGGATCCTTGAACACCTTGTTTTAATGGCCACTTTCTGTTCAGAGTTATTTAAATGTATTTCTGATGTCAAGAACATGTGCCTCTCCTGTCCCTTAATTGACACTGCATTTAAACCTTTCTGTTAACACCCCTGATCCTTATACATTAGGCTGCACCATGTGTGAAAGAAGGGGCTTTAAAAATGAAATACAGTTTAGATTGATATACATTCAGATGCAGGATCATCTGAGCTTATAAGGCAACCCAGATAGGGCTCAAACCCACAATCCTCAGCTCCAAATCTGATGACCTACCAAGAGGCCACTAGGCTCATATGACAGTATTCCCAACAGCAAAGCTCCCCGCTTTGAACCTGAGCAGTAAAATGTTCATTTGACACATATTTCAGTGCTTACCCATCATCAAGCTTTGGGGGATTTTCTTCATGTCAGCAGACATAAGAGATGAGATGAGTTTAACAAGCCAAACAAAGACACACCGAGTATTCCTGGAACATTGCCAAGAAAATTCCTCCATCCAAAGCAACTTGATTCATCTTTAACGAGCTTAACAAGAGGCTGGTGAAAACACATGCTCATCTCAGGGCTTTCCCAAATTAAGAAATAAAGAGATAAATAATGAGTGGACATGAGTTGAGTGGTCATGAGGATTCTCAGCTTCACTGCTTGACCAAAACAGTAAAGCCCCGTTCACACCGAGAACAATTACTATAACTATATTAGCATCCACACCAATGCACAATAACATTTTGTCTATTATAAGATTACAGCAACTATGTCATCTGCCATTTTAAATGATCAAGCTCTTTAAATGGGGTGGGTTCTAAATGCCAGTCAATGCTTTTATCATTCATTAGCTAGAAAAATCATCTTGAATGTGGTTCCAACAATGTTGTTCCTCATTGCTGTTACTATTATCGTTATGGTGTGGACTTTCCTACTCTAAAGAAATCTGAAAAATTATTACAACTTTATAGTTAAAGTTTTCATTACAGTTTTTGTACTTGGTGTGAATAAGCCTTAGGACAGGACAAGAAAATGATTTTGGTTAACCTAAATTTGGTTACCAGCAAGAAACATTTACAGCTGTTTCTTCAATTATGGGCACTTCCAGCTGTGTGGACTCTTCTAGTTTGTGTTATTTGTCCACTAATAATGGCCAACAGTGGACATATATGCATCACAGGAGCACTGTTCCTTTTATTTCTGAAAGAAAATAATGCAAATTCAAACTGCTCTCCCATTTCTGCCACATGTCAAATGATATTTAATACCATTCTACGGTGGGAATGACATTTTAAACATTTACATTAAAATAGCCAATTTCCTAGCTAACATTTTATGTATTTTAAATACACACATTAATTTATATTTGTATTAAATTATACATAAAATTCTCATACTTTGCCTGGATTGACAGAATAGTGGCTAGGAAATAAGGCCCATTATAACTGTATAACATTTACCTTTATATTTACATCTTTATATTTTTAAGCATGCATTATATGCCATAATTCATGACAATTCATATGATGATTGATATTTTTATGATGGATTCTCATATTTTTTAATTAATGTGATATTAATATAACCAAAAGACAAGGTTGAAATAATTTTTTTTTTTACATTTAAATGTAATTTTAATAAAAATCAACCCTAGCAACACTAAAGCACCCAAAGCCAAAGAAAAACCCTCATTATACCATGATCCCAGTTCTATCTCCAGACAAACATTCAAAGGATTACTAAAGGCATAGCTCAGATTCAGTAGCCAGGCAGAATGAGATCTAGACCGAGTGTGTGAGTCTATATGAGTGACTCTGCTCTACAGGCTGGTATGCACAACTCAGTGTGAGGCATGCGAATGTAAACAGCAGTGATATACAAAAGGTCCAGCTGGCAAACAGACAACTGTGTGCTTGTGTCATCATCACGTCTAATGCTGGTGTCCCTCTCTCGCTCGCTTAGGGCCCTTTCACCTAAAGAATGGGGGTAAGAATGTGGGCCTAAATATGACAGCCCGCCCCACTCCTCAACCCTTTCCATCTCATTTTTCCTTCCCCCTCCCTTCAAATCCGATCATCCTCCCCCCATTATCCAGAGCCATACTCATAACAACCCATTTACAACATTGCCCTCCCAAGAGCGGGACACAAAAACACACGTACAGTACAGTTCTGTATCAAAATCATACCGACATTTATTTTGAAATCGAATTGATGTTCACCTTCCCCTGTGGAGTTAAATAGAATCATAAATGGCGTATTCCTGTTCCTATTTGGCAGGAAACAAGTTATCATTCACGTACAGTTCAATTTCTTCCCACAGGCTAATTTCCAAACAGCATCCTTCAGATCTGCTGGGTGATGAAGAGCGCTAGAAGAACAGTAAGCTGAATCTATACTTTATTGTTTCCATTGGGGAATCTGGGCTCCTTGTTTATTCCAGTACTGTTCGGATCTCAGAGAAGGAACAAAGAAGATCCAACTGACATTCTAGTGATGAGACACATATGACAAGTGAGCTGGCAATACCCACAGGCTACCCACAAACAAAGACACGCAAAGGCAGAAGCAGAGAGAAGACAGTGGTAGATTTTCAAATCTTGGCTCTTGAACAATAACTTCATTGTTTGATTCATTCATGAATGAAATGCCTGCACTTTTTTGAGGAATCATAGTTGAACTTAACTCTCTTTACAGTCCACAGCTGCTTTCCTGCTTTTCCTATCTCAATATAGCAACATCAGAGGATGGTGAGGGCAAACCGCATGTCTGCATTGAATCCACGTGGCAATAGGATCCAATCACAGAGCGAGCTTGAACGAGACCAGGAACAGTGCAGCACCTGAATCAACCTACATCTTAAAGGTGAAGCCTGGATCTAGTGCTGGTTCATGACTGAACTGTGCCAGACACAGAAATGAAGAGCTCTGAGGCAAACATCATCGACACCATGTGCCAATGACACTGTCTGCTCAATATCCTCCCACAGACAAGTTGGCATAATAGCTGACCCATATTTTGCAATCCCCATTTAACAGCATGGAAGCAAATGGGACCAAGAGCGTGCTGGAGAAGTAAGAGTTAAATTATGAATGAGAAGACAATATCTGTGTAAGCAGAGCACAGAGCTGTTACACCTTATGGAAATCACGTCTTTTTGTCAATCTAGTACAAACACTGTGATATTAATGGTGAGCAGCTTGAAGGCGTCTCAGGAGAGAAGTCATGTGGTCGCTATTGGGTTTCACTGGCTGAATGTTTGCCAGAGCGTCAGAAACTAATGCATGGAAACGAGTCCCGAAACCCGGTCAACATACATTCAGAACGACTGTGCGTCCTTTTCACGATGTGGTTAAAATATTAAACCCGACAGAAGATCAATACGGTGTTTTCACGCGAGCGCGGCCGCTCTTTGTACGCTCATAGACCCAATGATATGACGGAACGCTGCAATCCGTCAGACAAACGCAGCAAATCTCACGGTGTGTGACACGGAATGGCGCGCGGTTGCATCTGCTTAATCAGCAGCAGCTCAGTCTGTTTCCCATTGTGTGAGTGAAACCCCCTCCATTTCCTCTCTACATGCACAACATTCTCGTGTGGATACAGTGTATTCAGTCGCACCGGCATTAGGGCGAACCGTATCGAGTTGAGTGATACACAACATGACTTCATAATTGAATGTAGCCTATAACCTATATAGGCCTGTATGTACAGTATGCATGCATGCATGTATGTATATATCTATGTATGCATGCATCTATCTATCTATCTATCTATCTATCTTCTGGAGGATAGTGAATGTCATGCAGCTCTCCCCGTCATTTAGGTCTAACATGAATAGGCGATTGTATATTGCATTATGGTTATTTGCTCAAGGCCACTTTAGTGATAACGGGTTTGAGCTTCGCCATCTGCATGCAGGTCACGCTCGTGCAGAATATACGGTTACATGTGTTTAAAGCGTCGTGTCAAACCTCTCACCTTCATATCGTTGACAATCGCCTGGAATAATCCACCAAGCGCCCCGCACTCCTTCTCCACCGACTCCACGTTTATATTATCCATTTTAAGTGAATACAGATCAGAAAAAATCCTTGTGTGAAATTACTTCCACAATACCCCGACGAGACGCGGCTTGAGAGCTAAAAGCAGAAGAGTGTTTGTGGGTGAGGGCTAGATTTCAGCAGAAATCGCTGTGTCTTCAGCTGTCGGTATGCAGTCCAGAGGATTGACGCAGATGATGGGGAGAGACGAGAGAGGTGGGTTACTCTCTCTCTCTCTCCTCTGCTCCGGTTCTACTCTCCGCGGTTGGTGGAGGTTAGGCTCGTGGATGGCCCCGTAATGGTCACGGTCATCTTCGGCCAACGATGCGGAATCGAGCTGAATGGATGTGAGAAGCAGAGTGCGTGTGTGAAGCGGTGGGTCGGTGCGGCATTGATCTTTTTGTTTATGTTGCATGACTATACTAAGATTAAGGATAGCATTTATGGGTTAGTAAAACCTTTAGAATAAAAGGTTACACTTTATTTTAAGGTGTCCTTGTTACGGTGTAATTATACATATAAGTTCTGAGTAATATTAATTAACTTCATGTACTTACTATATGGTTAGGGTTAGGATTATGGTTTGGCTTAGGGTTACTTGCATGTAATTTGGCAAAAATAATTGTTATTATAATAGTAAGTACATGTAACATGTGCAAAAAGGACACCTTAAAATAAAGTGTTACCAAAATTATGATTATTAAAATATCTTCTTTTATGTTCCAGAGATGCCAAAAAGCCTTAGAATCGAGCTGAATGGATGTGAGAAGCAGAGTGCGTGTGTGAAGCGGTGGGTCGGTGCGGCCCCCGCGCGGCAGAGACTGGTGAGTGAGTGAAGTGAGCAGCAGCGGCGCAGCGCGAGAGGGCCAGTAACTCGATCCATGCGAATCGTATTGGGCAGATTAGAGGTTTGGAACGGCATGAGGGTGAGTAAATGATGACAGAATTTTCATTTGTGAGTGAACTATCTCTTTAATGAAAACCATGTCAGTTTGGCTGTAAAGGGTGGGATTCAGTCTGCATATACAGGGACTTCATTAATGCCAAAGTTATTCTGTGATAAATGATAATGAAGCTGAAATGAGATTTCATGATTATGTCTTACTGCTGTGATAAAGACCCAATCATCTTGTTCTCTTGTCACAGTGGAAGGGGGAGAATGACGCCCTCTCGCAAAGATCCAAAACCAAGGTCACAGTGTCTGAATGGCCTGTGTCTCCAAAACCGGGTTTCATATTTACAGAAATAGCTTCAAGGTCTCTCCCTTTTAACTCTTGGGAATTATCTCACATTATATTTCTACTCTGCTCTGCTTTTTGCAAGAATTAAAGTAAAGAACTCTGTTCATGGCCTACACTGCTGCCAGTGGATAGTGGACAGAGAGATGTAAACAGTTCTGTATTTATTGCCTGTTTATTTCAACTTTGCATTACTGTAAGTCACTTTGGTGAGAAAATATCTGTCTGGATCATAAATGTAAATGTCCCACACTCTAAAACGTTTCTCTTTTGCCCTCTCTCGCTTCAGTCTTTGCTGATCTTCACTGTCTGTGCCTAACAAGTTTCCCCTTAATTTCATACATTACTCAGCAAGACAGCTAGACTGCCTGCATCAGGATCAAATTGTCCTGCAACCACCACTGAGCCGAGACACCTGCTTCACCCATCCTTCATCTCCACTGTTATCAAAATACATATATTATCATCTATCTTGCACATTTTCTTTCTTATTTTTTAGAAAGCTGTAAAGTGTTTAGGATTCAGTTTCTCATATATCTGACAGTGATCTAATGTCCATAAAAACGTAAATATACTTGGCACCAAATGAGCTCAGAGTCTGATTTTCAGGGACTCAGAAGTGCTGCTGTGGTTGTTGGAACTTGTTTTACATGTGAGTTAGTAATGATGCAAATCTCTAGAGATCTACAGAGTGTGAATTAAAATTTTACCTGAGAGAGGAAAAAGTAATAAGTAGGTACAGAAATTTAATCAAAAGTAAATTACAACTACATTTATTAGTTGGTGAAAATGAGTTTTTTCCTCTAGAGGAGATTCTTCTCAAAATGTGTTACTTGTGTTATGTAATTAGTCATGTATATGTTTTGAAGATATCTATCAATGTGTATTAGCAAAGTCTTTATTCCTAATTCATTAAAAGTACATATTTTGTGTTCCTCAGAACGAAGAAAGTCATATATATTTGGAACAACTGTAAATGGTTATATAATTTTCATTTCACTTCATTGTCTACTGAAATCTCAAAACCTTTTTTATGCTTGCTTAATTTGACATGCTTATATATGGTTTGTGGTGTTCAGAAAAAAAAGAGCACTACTCTAGTGAATATTGTTTAACCTTCTGCTGCACATACAGATATGCATTCAATTGTAACTGTTCTTTTTCTTCCACACAGTAACACAAAGCTTTAATATAGCCTTAACCAAATTCCAAGTACATTACATCAGATTCATTTCAAGTGGAACATAAACCCTCCCCCAAACCCCCTTTCTTTGGGTCTTTACGCTATTAATACTTAAAATGGAGAGAGAGAATAACAAGAAAAAACTAATTCAATTCGTCAAACTATTTCTGGGAAAACTTTCACATTTTCAAAGCCAAAGAAAACCACTGTCTCATTTTTGGGGTCTTTTATGCAGTCTAGTCATCCAAATACAGGTCTATCACTTCTTCAGAGCTATGGAACACAATAATATGTATGTAATATCCCATATTTAGTGAAACGTCAACCTCACAGAGCCATTGTTATTTTGTGCACTAGCCAGGCATTACCACAAACATCTTGGGCATGACCACAGGGCATCGTGACAAATAATGTTTTTGCTCTCTTTTCCACTCACAATGAGCTTTGTTTACATTTGAATTTTTGCTTTATGACAATTCACAGAGGCTCTATCAAAGTTATCAAGTTTTAGGGCAAGATGGAACTGGGCCAGATATACTTTTTCCAAAAATAAACCAGTATGTGTGGATACTAGAGCCACATATAAAGAAAGCATCTAATGACAGACTGTGGGTGTGACATGGCCGAAGTGTGCAATGCCATTCCTGCGTGCCAGTGGCTTTTGTTGATCTCTTTTTGTTGAGTCTGATCTTAGATGCACACTGACTTGACAAAAGGTCATTGAATACTTATAGAATACCCCCTGCTTGTTCATTAAGCAGTTTCACACAAGAAAGAATGCTTGGTAAAACTTTACTTAAAGCCTTTATGTATAATGCATTATAAAGGGTTAATAAAGGGTATAATGCATTATAATTATTCATAATGTGTCTTGTAATACATCATATCTTGTCTAAAATAATTATAACTGAATTTAAAATGCATTGTGTAACAATGAACTGATAAGCGTTATTGTAGTTACATTCATTCATGAGATTGTACAATGCATTATAAGCTGCATTATAAGGCATAGTTAATGCATTAAAACTACTTTGATAATGCATTATACATAAAGGCTTTACGTAAAGTGTTACTGAATGCTTTTATTCAGACAAACAGCAAGATTGTGTGTATACAACAGTTCAATATTTAAGAAGTTAATACTGAGTCACTTACATTTAAGACACAATATGTCCAGTTACTTTTTCATCGTAAGCAAAAATAGTTCTAAATAAAGGCAAAGCAGAAACATTGCAACTCAGTAGAGGTGTTTTTTGAATTTGTAACTGAATCAGTGTTTTTGACCAAATCAGTTAAGTGAACGATTCAATTATTTACTCAAAAAGAGATTTGTTTAATTTCTGAATTGAGTGGTTGAGTGAATGATTCAGTGATTCACCTATAAAGATGGCCTGAATTTGAAAAAAAATAACTTAAATGATTTTAGCAAATGGCTGCAATATAACAAAGAGTGAAAAATTTAAGGGGGTCTGAATACTTTCCGTACCCACTGTATAGTAGGTGGGAAACTGTGTGAAAATAGTAGTATGTCCGTATTCATAAAACAGTAGGTGAAAAGAACCTGGATGATATACTATGAACTGAGAGGATTTGTGAAAGACGGAAGCGATGGAAATGATGCTCATAGGTTACATGACAATGGCAACATGACAAATGTAGCATGTCCAGATTTCATTCATACTACACATATGCATACTATATAGAACACAGTTTTTTTTTTTAATATATATTTACATTGTACCTACTTCAGACACAGCTGGGGTTTTGTTTGTCCCTGGATTAATCAGTATATGGAACAAATCAGTTGACTGAAACCTTTAAGGATTCACTCATAAATACAAATAATAAACACGGAAATTACAAATAGCAAACAAAAATTTAAATTCATGGAATTACTATCATATTTTCATTTCAAAAGTTCTTTGACTGCACACCTGTAATCAGATTCCCCTCCTAATTTAATATGTTTTGTGGTTCTTTTAAGAATATACTTTGATTTAAATGCTGGAGACCAAAAAAAAACTAATCTTTTATTAGCATGTTTCTGCAGTATCCCTACTTACCCATCTTAGCCCATAAACTAGGTCAGAATGAGTCATACAACCCACTCTCACTCTGCATACCCCCCTTCTCTCTCTCCATCCTCTCTTTAGCTCTTGCTAGACAGTACAGAACCGCCTACAGCTCTCTTTCTCATGTTTGAAGTCTATCACACTCCTTTGACTAAATGGATGATTTTCCAGAAGAGATCTGACCAACAGCCAACAGTAAACCAGCAATGCCCCTCTGGGCAGTTTGACATCAGTCTTCTAATTCTTCAGCATCTTTGTTGGCAAACTTTTACATCCATGTGAATCATCATATGGACACATCAAACTATAAAAGCATCTTCACAGACTTAGAAATAAAGACTTCTTTCATTTCACTGTGCAGACCACTAAACGCAGCATAATTGTGTTTTCCATCATCCATCTCTCCCTATACATTTAATCTATTTTGGTTTATATGATCTTTCTAAAAGGCCACAACTCAGCACAGCGGCAGATGGAGATTTCCATAAAGTGTGGTGTTGTGGGTAACTGAGAGGTCTCTTGAATAAGGATCATTAGACCCTTGGGTTTCTGGTAACAAATCTAGCACGCCAGTCCTCAAGAACATATCAAAGACTTGGGTTTTTGAATCTGTTTCTCACCCTCTGGATTCACTGCAAACCTCATAAGAACAAAATAAAAATACACTGGCAACAGTTTTTCTGTTGGCAGAGTGCCTTTATACTTGCCTAATTTACTCAAGAAGGAGTAAGCACCTTATACTTTCCTAACAAGAACACAAAACCCTTATTATACATTTTTGTGGAATAAATGAAAAGCAGAATGTAGATATAATGCTGTAGTAGTGCTGACACTAATTACATTTTGGCCATTGTTACATGTGCTGTATTTTTTTATATTAGTTTTTTTTTA